GAGGGGCCTTTCAAAGCTGAACAAAGTTGCAGGCACCTTGGAGATAAGCTGAACATTATCGGCAAGTTTAGTTAGTATGCTGGTGCCAAGAATACAGAATTCCACATACAGAAAAAAAAAAAAAGATAAGTTTTGGAAACTGTATTTCTAAGTGATGATTCTTCTTTAAGAGAGGAAATTAGGGGAGAGTAACTTCAGAAGCAAAGATAATGATAATTGTGGACAGTTGTTGCTGTGTTACTGGAAAGAAAGGCTGCTTTCCAGAAACGCTGGGCTTAGGGTAATCTTTGAACAACTCAATTACTGTCACTCAGGTAACATAAATGATCAAATTTTTAAATTCTATACTAAATGGCGTCTCATTTTAAACTGTGGAGCATAGTATTTTCAGCTTAATTTAAAAGACTGTAAAACTTAAAATGTACATGTTTGTATAAAGAAAATAAGCAGCAAATTCACTAATCACAATAGGACTGAGTTTACTGTTGCTTTTGAATTGCACAAGGTATCATCTTCTAGGTCTTGAGCCCGGTACCTCTCTGTAAAATGTGATTGAAATTGACCACATATCCAAAAATAATTAGGGAGCAAGAGAAATGCCATGATAAAATTCTGTGAAATAGACGCGCACATTTAAAATGTTCATAGCTATCAGAGTTGCTAACAGTGTCTATACTTGAAAGATATGTGACTTATTTCTCCTTCAGATGAAGGGATAAAGGTATTAGATGTGAGTTCTGGTGACCAGCTTTGTATCAAAGACAGAGTAGTGGGCTACATGGACTTTGGTTTTTGTGTCCCTGTGGTCATTTATCCATTGGGTTGTGGAACTAAGTCTAGTCATTTAATTTCTTTGACCTTCAGTTTCCCTTTTAGTAAAATGGGGATAATGCAATTTAGCTGAGTTTGAGTGAAATGTGGAGTGTATACTTTCTTTTTGAAGCCTGTGACTATACGGTATCAATAAAGCGTAAAGTAGGTATTCTTCTCATAGTTCTTCATAGATGTTTGTATATTTGTGGTAGCTTAAAGAACGGCAACCACATTCCAGCATGTGAGAACTTTCTTTATATAATTTATTTTACAAAAGGAAATGGCTTATCTGACTGACTACAGCTTTGCGAAACAGTAAACATTCAGATCTTCAAACTTAGCCGTCCAGCTTTATCTCTTTCCAGTGTGGCTTTCCATAAAAATAATAAGGCTGTGTTGTCATTGCTGTAATCATTTCCTCCTGTCAGTAGCTCCTGCTTGGTCAAGTGTGTGTTCATCAAGGTTCTTGTCTTGTTGATATGTGACTGCTGCAGCATTGTGGCAGCTTCTATCAGATAATGCAGCTGTCTTGAACTCCCACACAGAAGAAAAAAATACAGCTATAGCCCTTTGAAGAACTCATAAAATGTGTTTCTAATTAGATACATATAATAGAGAGTACCAGAGGGATTTGTTCATTGTCACAGACCTTCAGAGCTGAATTTCTGCAACAATTTGCTGAAGCACATAGACAACGAGAGGCATTTATGACTGCATGTGATCCAGAGATAAGAGATATGCTAGATCTGAAGCATCTGAAATAAGAAGCAGTGGGAAGCAGAAGCATCCTTGTTTTTCAAGACAATTATACACAGTGTTTATCCACAGAATTCAGGCAGCAACACTTAATATAACATTTCAAAAGAAGCAGCTTTAAAAAGTAGTTTTAAAACCTTTTCTGCAGTCCAGTAACAGCAGATGCTCGTTAAGAGAATCTGTCTAAAAGTCAGATAATTTTGTCATTTTTCAGTGATAGAGTAGACAGCTGAAAAGAGAAGTTTCACTTCTTCCTGTGAACATAAGACTTGCTGCTGGGACAAGCAGCTCCAAAGTGCCTTGGAGCGTTCTGCTGGATGTGCTGTGCACAGGGAGCTTTTTAATCAGCTGTTGCTTACATGCAATGCGGCAAGTTGCACCATGAACAGCGGATCTAATGAAATGGCAGCTTTTTCCCATGTATCTTTTCCTCCTCATGTTGACTGATAAAAGATGAACTTATAAGCCTTTCTCTCTATGAGGACTTCAGTAGAGTTCTGCACACCTGTTTTCCTGAAACTTTTGATAAATAATAACTTTAAAACTTCTGCCCTTTTGTTCAGTTTGGTTAAAATTGTTCAGGAGCTCAAAAGTTATGCCAAGGAATCAGATAGTACATATGGATCATTATTGTTTAAGTCTCATTTCTTTGGGACCCTGATCTAAATGAGGTGTTTAGACTTTTCATTTTAAGAAAGACAGTTGTCTTTGTGTAATAGAAGAAACATTTGTATTAACTCCGTCAGTGTGTATGTGCACTTGTAAATAACATTAAAATATTAAAAGACTAAAAAAAGCAAAAAAGTTCAAATATAGAAAAGTTAGAAAATGCCAAATTAAGGTTATTGACTCTGACTTAACGTTTCTTTCTCCTGTTTTCACATTTCTGACACTCCATGTTGCATGCGAAGTCAGATGTACTATGAATAGCCAGCTATGGGAAACTGAAAATGCTCAATATACTTAATGACTCAAGTCTGGGTTTTTAAAAGTGAATCTGAACTAAGTTCCTGTGTTTCGAAGTCTAATTAGTGTCCTAACCTTAAAAGGTAGATGTGCATTAGAGAGGCTGTGAAATCTGCTCCCCTGGAGATATTCAGAACCCAGCTGGACAATTTCCTGTGCAACCTGATCTGTGTTGGCCCTGCTTTGAGCAGAGAATTGGACCAAGTGACTTCCAGAGGTCCTTTCCAATATAAATAAATCTGTGATCTGTAGACCAGATCTATGGTCCAGAGAGCAAGGCCCTATAAACTCTATGTAATCTATATGCTTTACACTGCCTAAAATTACTGATGTGTAAAGCAATTTGAAACTTTAAAATTGAGTCTGTTTCTAGTAGATAAAAGCAATCACGATTCTTTAAAATCTATATATTGGGTATGTAACAATACATTGGGTAAGTAGCAGTCAGGCTGGCTGGCAATGATTTGATGAACTGCAAAAAATAAGAAAAAAGAATAGGCCTAAATTTTACCCGTGTTGGATATAGTCTCATTTTAGACATCCTTAGAAAGGATAGAATTGTATTTTCACAATATCTAGAAGATTAAGTAGAAAATAGCAGACTCAGACTGATGCAAAACAGCACTTCTAAGAGAAATACAAGAAGATTACCACATAGATTATTACTGAATTTAGAGGAGTAAACAAAAGCCAACAGAACGTGATTTAAATTAGATAAATGCAAGACATTGTACGTATAAAAAAAGAGATATTAAGACCTAAAAGACTAAGAGGGTGAGGCAGAGAATTGCAGTGTGAGGAACCTGAACCAGTACAGCTATTTCACAGCTTGTAAATTGCTACAAATTTGCACATAGTAGTAAACTCAATTCACAGAGAAGAAAAAGATGGAAAGTGATTATTCTACTGGATCATATACAGAGTAACTCACAACAGGGATGTGGTTTGTCATATATTTTTGTTAAGGGTAGATAGTGTACAGTGTAAAGTATTATCTGCTTATTAAGAAGGTGATATAATACAGAGAAGTTCAAAAATGGACTTTTAATAAGTTAAACATGATTTGGAAAGGTAGCCTAACAGAATTTATTCAGTACAACTTGGAGAAAAGGCAATAAAACAAGAGGTCCTCTGTAAATACTGGAGACAAAGGGGATTGATTATATAAAAGGTGGAAATAACCTTCAGCTAAAAGGGCTAGGGAATAGTGTTGTGTCTTTTTTTGTTGTATTTCACACACACACACTTTGCCATGGCTCTGTGGAAAATTAGAAGACGTACAGAACTGAATCATGAACAGCTACAGAACAGCAACAATAGTTATTAGAAAACAGTTGTAGATCCTAAGGTTTATTAGATGACGGAATAATTTGTCAAAGGAAGTTTTCAAGCACAAACATTATGCAAGACTAGCAACAGAAGGTCAGATTTTGTTATAGAGGATCCTCCAGCATTACAACAGGGAAATGTAGTTTCCAGACCTGGCACTTAAGATCTTGTGAATACAAAAGAGTAGCTATAGGCATATATGTGGACAGAAGGAGACAAAGCAAATATACTCCACTACTCACATCCGATACGCAAATAAGAAATTAGACAACCAGCAGCGAACAGATACTGCTTACGCATGAATATTTCTGCTACACACTGTAATAATAATAATAAAAAAGTCAAAGAAAATGGCAATTTAAAATACTATCTAGCCCTAAGGGTGTTGAATAATTTTGGATGATGGTCTGGAATGTCACTAATATAATATAGGGGCTGCTGTCACGATGCAGGAAAAACCCTCCATATTTCCTAGAAAAACTGTAAAATAATGAACAAAAAGTATTTTCTTGAGACTACATCCCAAGTGTTGCAGAGTCTAGTACCTACTCCAATAAGTTTGTTTTTTAGTAAGTTATATTTGAATAACCATTTGAATAAACATCTCTGCACTTCTTACATATAATTGATATCGCATGCCTCTCTTGATATTGCAGTATTCCCTATATTAGCAGTAATAAGAGATACAGATTAATTTCAAATTTGAATTTAAGGTCAGTCATCTGTTTTCTCAGATGGAGATTTTCTGGTGTGACTGAACACTTATCAGGTCACACTAGATTGTAACTGTGAAAGGAAAAAAATTATTACAGGAAAGAATTTATTATAACCAGAGAGGTTGTAGAGTCTCCTTCGCTGGAGATATTCAAAACCCGTCTGGATGCGATCCTGGGAAATATGCTCTAGAGGACCCTGCTGGAGCAGGAAGGTTGGACTAGATGATCTCCAGAGGTCCCTTCCAACCTCAACCATTCTTTGATTCTGTGATTCTTGATTTTCTTTTACATGTAACTTTCATATGTACCACATTTATATTCTGTTTTTGTCTTGGATTAAACTAATGGTCTAATGAACTCAGTTCAGCTCAGCTGATTGCAATATTAATCATGTATTGTTTCTCTCTTCCTCTCTTACAGTATGCTGTTTGGCTAGTCCTCTGGGTTACATGGAACGTGTTTGTTATCTGCTTCTATTTGGAGGCTGGGGACCTTTCAAAGGTAATTTACCATCTGATACATTTAAGCCATCAGTGCTGTGCTAACATGTCCCAGTCCAAAGGCAAAGTCTCCTGTTTTACTCATCCTCTTGATGTTCTTAGAAGGAGGATAGTGTGGTGGAAATTTTGAATATTCTGGGTATGTTAGAACCCTTTATCCTAGACAATTACAGATATATACATTCTGATGACCACAACAATAATGATATATTCCCTTTAAAGGAAAATTACATATTTTTCCCTCTCAGTGATTCCACAAAGCAAATTTCATCTTTATGAGAAAGAATTAATTAGTGATTTCATAAATACTGAAGATTACCATCTCAAGGTTAAACACATCTTTCCTTTGTACCACTCAGCTTGCTATTACTTAGCTGGATTTCTTCCAGGGATCTTATATCACAGCATAATAATTGTAAAACAAGGTGTCTTTCATTAAATTACAATGTAAAATGAGCTGTCGAAATGCATTGCTATTTGGCTATAACTGTTTTTGTAACTCCATGGTTCTGGTAGGAATATTATAATTCAAGACTTATACATGGTAAAAATCCACAGGAAAAATATATTTCCTCAAACATGACATATTTATAAGGTTTTATTGACACTACCAGTGAAAACACATAAGCAGTAGTTGATAATAGGCTCTCATAATCCAGTATAAATAGATCCTCTATCTCAAACCAATACTCCTACTTTCTATGGTGCTCCCAGAGGGCTAGCAAATTGAGGGAAAAAAGATTAGCAGTGGTAACAAGTTGTTTCATTAAAGTTAAGAATTTCACCTGGGATTGTATGTTGTGGTCCATGCTGAGTTATGCTGACAGTGGTATGACCTGACCATCAAGGGGAATCTCACTTATGAAAAAGAGCATGTTATTCTCTTGATTCAGATATTTATTTGCCTTCTCTAATTAAAGGGAATTTAGCCCAACTGTAAATTACAGATGTAATTCTGTGATCTTGTGTGAGTTACTGATATGTTATGATGCAGAAAGTTAAACACAATTATAGGAAGAATAAATGAGGCAAAGATATTTCTTTACCAGCACTTTCTCTCAAATCACCCCTAAAGTGCAAAAAATACTGGAGACAGGGATCTTTCATCCCCATGTCTTCTATTGCTTCAAAAGATACAGACTTCAAAAGGATTATAATTTCATTTCCTGAGGGTATTAAAAGAATTTTCTGTAGGTAAAACAACGTTACACTTTCTGGGTTCTGTACCTTCAGACAGGCTCAGTCTAATTAAGAGTCTGGTAAAAACACAGTAAATTCAGAAACTTACACATAATATCTTTTATGAGGTTAAAATGCTTTCTGTATTGGTAAGTGAGCTAATCTATATAACAAGTCGAACCCATGTTGTATGGTGGTATTCAACCCAGTCCATCCTCTTTCCACCTGCTCATTTCAGCCACCTGCATTCCTTAACTAGTAAATGTTGCAGTGCTTCTCATGAGATGTGTCTGAGGAAGACAAAGGGAGCGGAAAGAAAAGGGAAAAGGAGAAGCAGCTGTTTGAGTACTGTATTTTAGTGGGTATAAAATCAGTTTAAGAAGACCAGTGCTATCTGGAACAAAGACAGGCAAGACAACAATGCTTACATCTGGAACTGATTTCTTCTGATTCTAGGGCTGTGTGATCTAGAGTGTTTCCAACGAACCGTGTGGTACAGGCTTATACCTGGATGCAATCGAAATGCTTATTTGGTCTTTAGCAGTATTATTTATTTGTTCTAGTGATATAATCTACTCTTAAATATCCAGTAGAGTATATTCCTTCCACTTCAGCTAGTCATTGGACCAATAGCATTAGTAAAGAGAGAGAGGAAAGGAAGAGTACCTAGAAAAAAGATTGAAAAAGTAGGTAGAGGCTGACTCATCAGCTACAAAAGGTCTAACCAAATCACATAGAACATCCTTCTCCCCTCTTTCATCTGAATGTGGTACATCAAAACTTCCCTAGATGCTCACATCATCTACAAGAACTGGAGTCTAGAAATATATGTATGATGGAAGCTACCCAACTGTTCGAATGGATAGAACTTACATTCTAAGTCTTTCAGAGGCTACAACTGTTTTACAGATGTTGATATGCTACAAAATGGGTCATTTTTAGCTTTATATTTGTCCGTCACATTCACATATCTTGCACTGAATCTTCTTTATAATTTATATTTTCACCTGGGAATAAGGACAACTTCACATTAGTAATGATACTTCAGTGTATTTTTTTGTGTTTGGAATGGCATGTAGAATCTTGAAAAAAGCTGTCGGTCTGAAATGGTTCTAAACAGAAAATAAAAAATAACCTTTAGGCAGGTAGCAGAGGGATGCCTCTGAGGCTATAAACCATGAGAGAGGATACTGCACAGCATGGCTTTAGCAATTGATAGGTTAAAATTACAGCTTAATAATAGTCCAGCTGGGCATAGTTTATTTTTATATGTATAATTTATAGCTTTCTACCAAATAAAATAAAAGAAAGGCTTTTCTTTTGGAAGTTTCGAGAATAGCTTTTTTCCTATGTGTACGTACATCTATTTTTCCAGCATGACTTGCTAAGGCAGTGGAGATGACATATTTCGACTGTTGATATATCTCACTACAAAAGACATGCTAGCTTCATCCTTTTTTAAATTAGTTGTGGGGGCAGAGGTCATGACCCTTTTACAGCTTTTCCTTATTTAGTGAAATGGCCCTGTAAAGACTCAGACATTTTTAGAACTATGAGATAATTATCTCTGAAGAGACTGAGTAGGCTGAAGGATTATTAGTGAACAGCCATGCAAATCTGTTTACATTATATGACATTACAGTCTTATATATGCTGTGGAAAACGGCATCATACTCTAACTATTTTCTCTCCTTGAGGTATAGTTAATGCCTTTGCTGACACTCTTGCACAGCAAGTCAGAATATTTACGGCTCAGAAGATCAGTAACAAAGAGGAAGCACAAACTCTTGCTCTTCACCCTGATTGTTATGTGGATCTGTGAATGAATACCTAGAAAACTCACTTCTCAGACTACTACTTATCAGTTTTACACTTCAGTAATATTTAATTAGTCTCCTTGATGTTTTGTTTGCAGGTAAGTGCCATACTAAATGTATGTAGGACTTTTAGCTTTCAGGATCTCTGAGTAGTAATATTTATTTTGGCCAGTGGCTGAGCAAACATGTAGCATAATGAAAACATGACATCTTGTCTTGAATGAGGTGCATTTGAAGTGCACTACTCAAACAAAAAAGGAAAAAAAATAATAGAAGGCATCTGTGAGAAATTGTAATATTTCAATTATTTCTTTAAAAATACCAAGAAATATTTACAAGTAAAAAACAAGGGATGAGTTTCAGCTATCATGGAGCAAAATCAACAAAAAGTTAACAGCCTGTCTAGCTCTTTTGACTTTCTTCTTTAGGCAGAGCTCTCATTTGCTTCTGTGAGATTCCCCCATGACCTCTGAACGAAGACCCTCAGTAAAAAAGTGCTGCAAATGCTCATATAACGAAGAAACAGTACCCCTACTTCAAGGCATTTAAAAACTTCCACTAATGATGTCTGTGGATCCCCTCAAGCTGAAAAGTAGCAGAATAAGAACTACCACGTTCCTATTTTTAGTTTTAAAATGTATAGACATTTGCTGCAAAAAAATTTACTGGTGCTGGGCAGAGGTTGCACTGGTCCCATCCCAAGTGTGGTCTCTCAGACACTGCTATCAGTGACCTGGAGTCAAGGTGAAGGCCAGACTCGTGAAGCTGGAGGAGGAGGACCAGGCAGGGCTCAGGGTCCAAAGCAGCTGCTGGCACGCATGCTCCCAGCCTCATCCCAGCACTTTTGGCTCTCCATGCGTATGACTCTATCTACTCGACCAGATACGAGAGCTCTCCTCTCACTGTTGCCTAGCTGAGCTCTAGTATAGCTTTACTGGAGTCCCTGCAGTGTTATGTGAACGTACCCAAGGGTATACTTTTTAAAAGCCCATTTTAACTGTTGCGATTGACTTAGTTTCTACTTATATTGCATTTCTGACTTCTTCCTTATTTTAACCAAATAACATATGAAGGTTACATTTAATGTATTAAATCATAAGATTGTACTTATATATATCTTTTGACACAAAAGTTAGATGTCTGAAAGTCAAACACTCCAGAAGCCAGAAATGCCAGAATTAAGGTTGCTTGTATAAGCATAATTTAGTTCTCTCTGTACATTCATTTTTATGCACGCTTTAATTATGTAGTCATAACTATATATTTTTTTCCACAGTCATTGCCTTAATCTCTGTACAGCATGGCCTATTTTAAAGATGAATTAGGGCTGGGAAGTGAATGAGGCTGTCATGCAGGAACTCACTTCACGTATTGCAGAAATTGGGAAAAGCTTGACAAAGAGGCAGAAAAAAAGTATTGCATGTTTTTTACTATGTGCGGCCATTACATATTTTATTTTCTCCTTATTGGTTAGTATGCAATTTATTTCCATACCTCATATGGGTAAGCCCTGTGCTCCAACTCTGCTCCGAAAACAAATAGAATAATATTATGAAAGCTTTGCACAGTACCATGGCACTTAGGCACCCTAAGCATGGCAGTGATAGTACATTTGTAGCTTGCCACCACGTCAAAATGCATTTCCTCTTGATTTTAGTAGTCGTTCTACAGACATGACTTCCTGGTTCTGAGCTGAACATCTATAATATGAAAAGCCATTTGTAAGCAATTTTGAAATTTGGTTGTAATGATTCATCTCGCATGAAGCAAGAACTCTCTAGCAGAGGCTGATGCAGAACCCTAGTAGCTTGGGTAATATTCATTTACCATACCATGGGCCTATAATCGTTTTGAGTCCTACTCTACTTTGAGAGCATGAACGCTGGGTAGACAACACACATCTGTTGGTCCCTCCCTTTCAGCCTTTCTCCAGCTCCTCCTCTAAATCAAGTATTTCTTAATTAATTTTCTCTTCCCCAGCCACACCCCCAAATACCTGGCAAGT